AGTCCTTTATTGAATAAGTACAATCTAAAAATATCCTTTACTGAGACAGATGGGGTAAATTAAAAGGGCACAGCTTAATCATCAGGAGTTCCAAACACTGAACCCTGCTCAGCAACAGTCTCAGTCATGTGGCCTTGGGCGGGCATCTCTTCAACTTGACCTCAGTGTTGTCGTCTGGGCAGCGGTATCACTAGGTTCTCCTTGACTCTGTTTTTCTGGTAGAATACGTCTTCTCAAAGTTGTGTGGGGCTTTCCTTGGTAGATGTGGGTGGTCTTTTATTTGTCTGTGGTTTGGTTTGCTGTTGTCAGTGTTATTGTTTTGTTTATCTTGCTATGGCCAGTGTGGTCAATGCTTCATGCAGATAGTAGCCAAGAAACATTTCTCATAGGTCAGATCAGACACTCACATCTCAGTAGACACACGAGACAGTCACTGTCATTAACATAACATGAGGTTAATGTGGAGAAAGGCTCATGGAGCAGCTGAGACCCTGTTTGTTGCTCTACTACAAGGTCGGGGTGCACGTTCACACCCTGCTCACAGCTCCTGACCAATCCCCAGTTCCACTTCTAAACCAGAGATGGACCCCACAGGGAGTCTGAGACATGGTCAGTGTTCCCCAACACTTGCCTAGACAGTCATCGCTTATTGCCCGACTTTCTAAATTTTATGAGGGGAAAGTAAGACGCAGAGGCATGTGGGTTTCATGAAAACACAACCAAAGCTCCCTGAGAGTGATGGGAAAGTGCTTGACAAGGTTCTCTGAAGGTCCCTCGAGGGTTTCTTTCTGCACGTGCGGCCTTTAAAAACTGTAGGGAATGACATTCTCCTAAACATGACTGAAGTGCTCATACACATTCTACACATACATATTTCCAAGGCAAAAATTTTACAAATATCAGTACTTCTAATTTTGTTTTACCACAGGTTACTTGCAAAACAACTCAAAGCAGCTCATAACATCATTTGTGTTCTGAACTCCACCTGAAATTGGAGTCAGTAAGTCCCCGGAGCTGGGCACAAGGGACATCCTCCAGAGCAGCTGGACCTGGGGTCCATTTAGAAAGCACAGAACGCCCATTGAAGGAGACAAGTCCTGAGGATTCATGTCAGTTTCTCACAAACATAATCCTCACCATTGGACCCAATAATTTAAGGACTAGATATTTGCCCAAGGGAAATAAAGACATTTGTAAAACAAACTAACAAACAAAAAACCCAAAGTGGTACATGAATATTCAGACAACTTTACCTAAGTGGCCAAACAGAGGGAAGAGCCCAGACACCCATCAGCAGGAAAGGGGGGTCATCAGGCTGTGGCACATGCAACGCTGTGCTTCCCAGCAAGTCGAAGGATTGGCCTGCAATACACACAACATCAGAGACAAACCCCACAAATGTTATGGTGAGGAAAGTAGCCAGACATCAAAGGATATATTCTGGATGATCCTATTTGTGTGAAATTCTGGAAGAGGCCAAACCAACCTACAGCAAGAAGCAGCAGGTGGGTCCTGCTGTGGCTGCCGGTGGAAGTGGGGAGGAACAGCAAAGGAGCGCAGGGCACCTTCCCAGGTGGAGTTGTTTTACACCTCAGTTAGGGCAGGGATCTAACAAGTGTATTCATTGTCAAAATTCATCAAACTTTACACTAAAAACAAATGTACTTTATTGTGTGGAACTTACATTTTAATAACGTTGATTTTACAGGGTTTGCTTTTTTATATAATTACCAAGCTAAACAGAAAAAGTGCTTAAGGGAAAGAAGACCAGTGGTGGTTTGAAATAGGAATCCCAATTTAATGTTTGAAGCGCAGATGTCCTGAACTGCGGGTACTTGTTCTGAAACAAGCTGCTTCTTCTGTGAGCACACTGGAAAAGGAAGTAGTTGGGACCGATTTGAAAAATCAAATCAATTGATCTGAGTCCTTGATTGATTGATCAATTGGAAAAGCAACCCCAGAGCTGCCCGTGGGTGACAGGGAGCCGATGAGGGAACTCAGGAGGGGCCAGACTTCTTTGTGGATGAGACGGACACCCTAGGCCAGCACTTCCCCCATTATCTGTGGTGGAGGACTAGCTGTTTTTGTTGTCACTGTTGCCTGTTTGTTTTATTAAAAATAAAAAAAAATTACATCTTCTAAAGGTCACAGTATGCCAGGTCACTATGAAAGTCTCTAAACACCTCCCTGTGTCTGTGCTGGCCTGGTCGCAGACCTAGCAAACATGCACAGGCTGGTGCCGATGCCCGACACTGCCCCGGGGGCTCCCAGAACCGTTTGGGGGGAGACTGAGGTCCCACGTGAGCAGAGAGGCGGGAGCCAAAGATGACGGATGTGGCCTTGTTTGCACACATTGGATGGCGAGGTCTGAGGAAATGTGCTCACGAAGGTTTCAGAAAAGGGACATGAGGTCAAACAGGCGCTGTTGTGGAAAGATCCCTCTGGGCAGCACACACAGCATGGTGAGGGACAGAGCGGCCTGAATCATGGGATGCACGAGGCAGTTGTTGTCCCCAAGCAGGTGGGAGATGACCGGGATTTGAACTGTCATGGCAGCTGCGGAACTGGAAAAGAGAGTGGCGACCAGGGGGCTAGAAGGGGATGCACAGTGACTGGTGGCAGACTGGAGAGGAGCCTTGGGGGGCGTGGAGACAGGGTCAGAGCAGGTGCTTTGACACAGAGGAGGTGGGTATTCTGAGAAATGAGAAGAAAAATGGGGAAGCTGGTGTCTGGGGTCCCTGTTTGCTCTGGGAAATAGGATGTGGGCTCCTGGGTGTGCCTGGGCAGCCTGGGCCGGTGGTGTCCTGAGGGCTGGCTCTGCCCACCTTGGCCTCTGGCCCAGCAATCCTTGACCCACTGCGGCCCACAGCACCACCCACAATGCCAGAGGGGGTGGGACAAAGCTCGGGCTTCTGCGTCCCATTTTCTGTGCCTGGCGCTCCGGCTTCCTCCCACTCATAATCACCTGTAGCTCCTCTTCCCCTTCCAGGCCCGGCACCGATGCCTCCCCCCCCAGAATAAACTCCCCTCCGGTGTGCTGCCCTGGCGCTCAGAGGGTTCGGAGCACTGGGGCACATCTCAGGGCAGCTGCTTGTCTGGCAGCCTGCCCACCACGCTGTAGCACTGCCTGAGGGGTTGTACCCAACTCCTTCTTCACCGTCCTTTAGCACTGAGCCTGATGGAGGCCCCGTGGGATGGGCTCGACAGGTGTGGCGTGAGTGAGAGCCAGGGGTCCTGTGATCCACTCCCTCTGCTACAGGAATGGTAGCCATTATTCAAAACTTCCAGCTTCCTCAGAGAGGGCTCCTCTCTGAATGAAAAAACAATTGGCCACCCAGCAGGGTAGAACTTCTCTGGGTTTAGTCAGCAACACCCACAGCACCCTCACCTCTAAAGGCTATACGCTCAAAGCTGGACTAAGCCTGATCAGACCGGTGAACTGGAAGTTACCACCTCTTGTGGGAGAACAGGAATCGAAAGAGAAGCTGGGTCATTAATCCTTCAGATCTGCAGGTCCCCAAGTCACTGGTGAGGCTACAGAGTGAAGTGGAATTACCACAGCCCTGGAAACGGAAGCTCAGTTTTGGTGTGGGGTTGTCCAGCTCTGGGCGCGGGAGCAGCCGGCAGGACAGCCTGCAGCTTCTGCCCCAGTCTAGTCTGCTGGGCGGATGCCTTGCCACCGAGGGTGTTACGTGTTTTGTGTATCGTCTTTGCCCACGTGTTTTTAAGAGAAGGATCTATCCCAGTGATTTTCTAATCCAGAGACGAGGCTTTGGCAGCTCAAAGTCACAAGAACAATCAAGATGCAGAAATTTTAGTTGGAAGGTGGGATTCCTGGACGTGAAATGTTCAGTAGTACAACCAGGACAGTCCCGGACAAACTGGGATGGTTGGTCAGCCTAGTTGGAAGGGACTTTCGAAATTATTGCCTAACCCTCTTTCATAAAATAGTCCCAGAGAGGGTGCTGGGCCTGCAGCCCATGTCTCCCACTCGCTCTGCGGGCCTTTCCCTCCACAGCGATTGCTATCAGCATCCTCTGGCCCATAGCCTTCTTCACTTCCATGACTATAGCTACTTACCTGATGCCACCTTCAGCAGGGGATCATCCAGCAGCCACGTGACTGCAAATGTTAGACATCAGGGATGTCGCCGGCTCCACACTCCTGTCCCCATGTCAGGAGAGGGGTCAAAATGAGGAGACCTCTGCAAGAGCCACAGTGTACCCCGGAGTCCCTCTGCCCTACAGAGGCAGGCAGGGTCTGCAGAACTCCTCTGACTTGACCTCTGGGAGCCTCTGTACTCCAAGTAAAGAAATGTTCTTGTCCTAAGTCTGGGCCCGTGGGTCTGCTTCTCTCTCCCCGTTGGTCCCCACCTATACACGGAATCTCAAAAGAAATGAAATCCTCTCCCAGGGCCATTCTTAGCACACAGCTGGGTGAAAGGAGAGAGATTAATGCACAAATGGAAAAACTCAGTGATGAAGGGGACTGCAGACGGCCCCTTTGGCTGTCACCTCCTCTCAGTCCCTGGAGGGATGAGTAGTTAAGTAGGCAAGCGGTTCCCCTACCCAACCCGACTAGAATCAGTGGTCTGAGAGTGCGAGGCCCCGGGGGTGCTGGGTTCTGCAGCCACACAATGCACTCTCCCCGAGGGACCACCAGACCCGGGGATGGACGGGTAGCTACACCTCCACAGACTTCCCAAAGAAGTGCACCTCTCCTAAACCCCAGGCTGTCTGTTTACAAAAGTTGTGTTTTCTTCTTCTCTCTTCTCGTGCCTGAATCTGTTCAGGAATGCCGCATTCCAGCCTTTCTGGGCCGACCGCATGTCACAGTGCCAACTGTCAGAACGCCACACATCCCAGAACGTGGCATTTCTGAGTGAGTCAGGCAGGAAGGAGTGTGGGGTGTTTGAGAGCAAAACCCGACTCCTACCACTTCATCATGGGACCCCCAGGTTCACACCATTGGATGGCGCACCTGAAGATTCTTGAAGGCAATGTACTACTTCCAGGGCAGCTTGGTGAGTGACACAGAGCAGTAGGACCATGATAATAGTGCGGCTACTCTCATCAGTTTTTAATTTATTCGGTCTTATCATAGCCATGCTCTCAACTGATTCTTAAGATATCCTTGCAAGGACAGCAAGGCTGGCAAGGTTCAGAGAGGATCAGACGTCCTGATGCAGGTCAGGCAGGTCTAGAAGCTGAGTTGTTGGACTCGGACACACCGCAGGGCTTTCCCCACCCCACCGTCCAGTGTCTGTCAGCTGTCCATCCTCCTCCTTCAGAAGTGGACATGCTTGTGAATCCATGAAGTTGCCCTGACTCGTCTGAAGCACTGAAGCGGAAGCTTTGAAATAAAGCAAATAAGGATTTAAATGATCATTCAATAAAATAAAGTTTGGGTGACAGCAGATTGCAGGGGCCGAGAGCCAGGCTTTGGAGTCAGTAGACCAGGTTTGCCACTTTCTAGCTGAGCGACCATGGGTAAGTCCCACCAGTTTTCTCATCTGCAAAGTGGAGATAAAGTTAGTCCCTGTTTGACAGGGCCACGAAGGATTAAAAGCAACCACCTACGCAAGATATCTTAGTTTAGCACAGTGCCTGGCAAACATAGGCACTATTTAAAATTTGCTGAATAATGAACTGACACAATTGTCGAGGTTGGGGTATGAAAGGAGACAGGCAAAGTCTGAAGCCAGGGCTCTTAACCTTTATGAAATGCTGGAGCCCAAACATGCCATGTACCTCCCACCAGACAACCGGAGGAAGAGACATTATTGCAACAGTTGGGGGTGCTCCTTCCACACCTGAACCTCCCATGTCACTCACTTGCTTTCCTGGATACCTTTCAAGAGGAGGAACTTGGGAAGGGGGTTAAACCTCCCACTGCAGGAACGTCTCTACTCCAGGGAAGAAATGGGCTGCAAAGCAATTGGGGTGGACCCGGCCCCATTCTACACCCAAGATGGAACATTTCTGTCTTTGGGGCTGAGGGCCGTCACGTGCCATGGCAGGAGGAGACTACAGAGAGGTGCATCGTGAGAACACTGAGGCCCAGACAGATGGAGCAACTTGCTCCAGGCTGCACAGGCAGGCAGTGGCAAGGACAGGGCTGGAACCCTGGTCTCCTGACTCCCAGTCCCCGACTCCAACCACCAAGCCCCTAATTGCATGACTGGCTTTCAAAATCATTAGGGCACAGAACTCACTCAGCATTAAGCTTTCAAAATCCCCACGGGCCCTCCCACATGGTTCCTCTTGAGGACAAAATCACTCAGGGAGAAAAGTATATTAAGAAGTCTTTTGAAATGGTAGAGCAGGGTGTACCCTCCGCCAGGAGCTCCGAAGAGAAAGAGTTGAGATACGATTTGCTCAGTCATCATGTGGGCTCCACCTCTTGTGCAATTTTTATCCCTTTTGGTGCCTGGATGGTGTTGGACGGTGAAATGTCAGGTTTATGAGCCTGATGGTCTCTGATAAGCGCATTTCATATGTCCTCGCAGCAACGCCAAAGGAGTGGCGGCCCGCATTCAGCCGTACCAGAGGTTTGGACAAACAGGTTGCTCCAATCCCCAGCAAGTTCATTATTAGGAGGCGCCCCACCCACCCCACCCATGAATTCCAAACAACGGCTCTATTCTCACTGTCCTTCACAACTAGGTCATGGGCCTGGCTGGGCAACGGATTCTGGAATGGCAGCTCAGAAATGCTCAGAAGAAACTCTTTACATCTCAGTTGAGGAAACTGAGGCCCAGAGAGAAGGGGCTTGTCCAAGGCTACACCATGGGCTCAAGGTGAGAGTTTTGGCTATCTGGCCCGCAGCCTTCATTGATTTGAGCACAGTGGCCTGAGCAGCTCAGATGACAGAGCATCTGACAAAGAACCCAGGGCACCAGGGCAGCAAGGAGCAAGGGTGCTCCTGGCAGACCCCGAGCGAGTAAGCGGCTAGGAGCACTTGGCAGTGAGAAAGGCCTATCCCCTGACAGCCAGGTATCTGAGGGCACGTAGCCAGGTGTTTGCATAACATGAAGCCACACCTACTGCAGACACTCACCGGAGAAGCGAGCCTTTCCCCCTTCGTGTCTGTCTCCCTGTATCCCTGAAGCTAGATTTCCTGAACAGGTGTGTCGCCTGGAGAAGGGACATCTTAGTTTGCAACAGGAGGTGTGTAAGTTAGCTGCAAGGAAAGACAATTCCAAGTTTCAGAGATGAGTGGCATTACTAAAGAGTTTCCTCCTTTTCAGATAACTAAATAGTAGGTGTGGCTGTCTGAGAACACATGGTTCCGGAATTGAATGATCTACAGATTAAGTCTAGAAAGCTTATACCGGGTCATTTGCTGTTGTTGGGATTTGAATTTGAAGTTGGGGAACACCCTTCTTCATTTGTTTTGGTTTCTGTTATCAAGGGTAGGGTCCTTCCCAAATACAGTACTTGGAAAAATGAAACAAAACACAAGCAAAGCAACGAGCCCCCTAAACACTTAATGCTTAGGTGTGGGTAGGAATGATGTGCAGAGCCACAGAACAAATGGTGGTCCTGAAGTCACATTCAGGAGCTGCTAATACAGGAAGACTTTTTTGGTCTCAGAGAACAAAGTCAGCACAGCCACCTGTATGAATCAGTCCAGAAACTACCTTGCTACATGAAGGTACAAAACCTTGAGATTTTCATGAGAAACTAGTGTAAGATGAAAAACAAGCATATTTTCCAGAGAATCAAGTAAAGTTCTCTAATGGCAAAAGCAGGGGCGTTTGACCCTCTCCTGGGCTGCTAGGCTGGGCAATGCTAACATCCATACTGCAGACTCCCCCGCAGGTGCAGGATCAACCAGGCAGGAGTCTGGTAAACACAAGGTGCTCAATAAATGTCTCTCTTGTGAGTAAGGTCAAGAAAGAGAATTTTTGTGGAAATTGAAACTTAAGCAAAAAACATCAGCCTATTCAAAGTTTTGGGGAATGGTAAGGGAAATGCATGCTTGATCTATTTCACTCTGAGGGGCTAATATTGGACCTAATGACCACGGTGCCACTAACACTCATGGTGCGCCTTCTGAGTGCAGGCACTGCGCCATGCATTGCATGTGAATTTCCTCACTTAATCCTCATGATACTGCAATTAGCAAGTAACTGTCATTTGCTCCATTTTACTGGTTGGGTAACTGAGGATTGTGGAAGTGGAAGAACTTGCCTAATAAGTGGCAGAGCTGGAATCAGAGCACAGGCCGTCCTACTTCAGAGCCTATGTCTTGAATCATTATGTGCTGTGGCCTGCCAATCCGAAGAGCTTCTTCTAATTTAGTTAATTAGAGTCCTGGGAAGAGGGTATTTTCTTTTCATCAATTAGCAGGATGCAGACTTCAAGCTCAACGTGTGTTATCAAGGGCTGAAGTTGGGCTTTGACCTGGTTCCAGGAGGGCTGGGGTGCTTCATTTAGTGAGACACAGGGTTCATGAATTCCAGCCCACGTCAGCACCTGTGATGTGACAGGTTCTGTACTCGACGTGGGACATGCAGAAAGAAAAGACCCAGGGTCCGTCCTGAGCATAGTGCAAGGACACAGACCTGTGATAAATGCTACGATGTCATCTGGTAGGTGCCGTGGCAGGTGCATGTGCACATGTGCCAGGTCCCGTGAGCCCCAGAGCCCAAGCCGCAGTGATGTGGTGGTTGTGTCAGTTCATGGGTTATACAGCACAAGAGGCCTGAGATTGAGTCTTGGCTCCTCCTCCATTTAACGACTTGAGTGCTCTGGACAAGTTCCTTAACTTTCTAAGTTTCTGTTTTTATCACCTTTAAAATGCCGACAACAATAGAGTCCATACCTCCCCCCACTGTTCCATGACGGAATGATATGTGTCTGCTCCAGCACGTGGGCCAGTGCATTGTAAGTGCTGCATAAGCAGAAGCCATTAGAAAAGACTGGTCTAGGGCACCAGGGATGGTTCTACATGAGACCTGGGCAGGAAGGGCAAGTCGGAAGTGATTATTTCAGGAGAGACTTTGGACGGAAGCAAGAAGAGGTGAACGTGCATTGGATGCTCAGGGGAAAGGAAAGTTTGCTGAGGCAAAGAGAACCAAGAAGCTGGAGGTGCACGCAGTGTTAAGAAAGAGTGATGAGCCGTAACCAGTACTCTGAGAGTAAGTTTGCAAAGACGGACATACAAAGAGTTCATGGCAGCCTTGTTTGTGAAGGGAATGAAATGTTTGCCTGAATGAGTACACCAATAAGTTAATAAACTAAGAAATAAGTAGAAACCACCTCCGTGTCCATCAAAAAAAGATTAGCTAAATAAATTATACTATAGCCATACACTTTTACAATGATACATATCTACATGTACGTACAAGGAAAGACATCTGTACCATAGGAGGAGGGCAAAGGGGGGAAAAACTGGGACAACTCTAATAAAATAACAATAATTTTTTTTATTTGTAAATTCATGAGCTACAGTACAGAGGAAGTTTTACCAAATGATGTATAGTGGTTGCCTCTGGGGAATGGCGTGGGGTGGGGTTGGTGACGTTTCCCTTTCTACTCTAGAATAAGAAGTATTATTTGGGGTTATCATTTGTATAATACAAATTTTATTAAATTTTAATGCCCCAAAGGAATGAAATAGGATAAAAAAGAAAAGAAGCTATTGGTAGATCACTGGTTTCTCGTGAAAAAGCGGGCTCGGGGCAGGGTGGTGGCACAAGGAGGTTAACAAAGGAGCGGGGCAAAAAGTGGGGTCAGCAAGCGGCTGCATTTCTTTGCCTGTTTGTCAGACAGAGGAGAAGGAGCCAGAGAAAAGAAGCTGGGGCTGTGGCAGAAGCCCTGAAGGAAGGTACAGGGAGGGGCAAGCAAAGGATAATATCAATCCAGTAAAAGGGATACACTTAGTGGGGAAGGGAAGTAGAGGGAAGGAGAAAGGGAGGGAGGGAAGGAAGGAGGGTAGGAAGGAAGGAAGGAAAGAGGGAGGGAGGGAAGAAGGAAGGAGGAAGGAAAGAGGGAAGAAAGGAAAGAAGGACAAAAGGAAGGAAAGGAGGGGAGGAGGCAGGGAGAAAGACGGTGGTTGACACCCTTAAAAGTTCTAAGAAAATATCAGATGACCTCAGGCTTACCATGAAGTGAGCGAGGTAGGGTGGGGTAGGGCAGCACGAGCTTAGGTTGCAGGCTGGAATGAGAGGACCCAGTTTCTGAGGATACTCAGAGGGTAAGCAAGGAGTTCCTCCTCCTCATCACTCCCTGCTAAGAAGCCCCCAGCGGGTAGAGCCAGGTGGCCCTCCCATTCCTGAACTCCGCATTCCAGGTTTCCCGGCTTCCTGGTGCCAGCCCACCCGTGGCTCCCTGGGCCCCCACTCTTTGTTTTCTCTGGCCTCCCTGGGGATGTGAAGGTGAGGAAGGGCAGAGGGTGGGTGGCCTGTGGCTACAGCTACTAACAATGCTGCTTCCGGGTATTTTGTCCCTAGTGGAATAGGATTTTTTGTTGTTGTTGTTAAGGGAGGGAGAATGGTCAAGGCTTTCTAGAGTATTCTAGTAGTGCCTGAAGGCTCTCGGGGCCAAAGGTTTCCCTTTCACCCTGGGTCAGCTGAGGATTAGCAAACCATGTGTCCTGACTTCTCTGTCTGAGACTGTGACCAGCAACTCATTAGTATTAATAATTGCATTATTTCTGAAACCATCCTCAGCAAATGGCCCTTGGAGTGTGAAAGGAAAGAAGAGGAAGGAAAAGAGGAGGAGAATAAAAATAAGACCAGGGAAGGAGACAGTGAGTCCCTAAATCTCAGGAGGCAAAGAAGGGTAGGTGCCAAAGCAGAATGGGTGCCCTCCCTGTAGCCCCCCCGGAGGGTTTGGGAGGCTGGGTGAGGAACGGCAGTCACTTCCTCTAGAACCCTGAGGTGCCCATGCAGGGACCCATCCCCGTTCTCTCTTACTTACAGGCTCTGAGGGGTGAGTGACAGGCTCACAGGCTCTGCTCCATGTCTAAGGTAGACTCGCGGTCAGGAGGAGTGTCCACTCCCACTTGGAGGAGTGGGGCAGGACAGACCTGCTGGGCTGCGCTAAGTCAAAATCTGTACCAGATCAAGTTCAGTGAGAGAGAGAGCAGCCGACAGGCATCTAGCCCCCAACAGCTATTTTGAGAATCAGAAGCCTCTGGGCCAACCAGAACAAGCAGCACAGACCCTGGAGGCACAATATTGTAAAAATGCCAGCCCCAGAAGGAATCGTAAAGATCATCCAGACAGAATACATCCCTCCCTCTTCCCTGTCTCTGGGGCACTCCTTGCAGACAGCATGCTGTATTATAATCTTTTGGCATACATCTACCAAAAAACAAGCAAACAAACAAACCCCCAAACCACCCTATGTTGCACTGCCAAAGCAAGGCATCTAGCTGGGGGCAGATTCACTGAATGTGTGTGAGTGTTCGTTTCACCTAGTCTTACCGCCTCATTTCCTGATGTGAAAAAAATGAGTCCAGAAAGCTGGAGAGACATTCCAAGCTTGCTCAGGCAAACGACATGCTGGCCAAGGGTTTAGCTCCAGGCCAGAGTGTTCAGGCCAAAACATGAACGCTCTGCACAGTGCACAGTGAGCTGGGGAGAATTAGTTCCGACACACTGTACATCCTGTGCAGGGCAGGCTGGCAACTGCTCTTTGGAAACAGCCTTACTGGCAAACGAGGTTTACAAGAGTATCTAGCTGAGGAGGCAAGTCCCCAAAAGATGCTCTGGACCTAAAGTAGAGTAGATGAGGTAGCAGCTTTCCTTTTCGCTTTGAGAAGTGGCCCCACCTCCACCCCAAGGGGAGTGAGTGATCCTTTGAATCTTCACAAATACATTCAGAAAGTGCCTTAAGCAGAGGGAGGTGTCTGGGTGAGTCTCTGGGTTGGGTACCAGGGACGATGAAGGGGTCTGTCTTTGAATGAACCCTTTGTACAAACACCCTTCAAACAGTGCTCAGACAGAGAGAAGGTGAGGTCCTCCTGGAAGATGACCTGCCAACGTGTTTCCCCAGAAACACTAGCCCCCATGTATGTTCTTATGAAGATTTTTCTCTGTGACCAAGAAAGATGACTAAAGGCGGCAGTCTAACCTGCTCTGGGGAGTCGCCATATTCATCAGTGCATTAAAGGCACTGAGAAATCCTACAGTGAGGGGTCAGAGGCTGAACTTTGTCCAACTCAGTATTGCACATAATTATGTCATCCGGGAACACTGTGTCCCGTAGCACGCTTAGGACAATGGCTCTCAGGCTTTTTTGTTCACAGGACACTTTCAAATTCTGGAATTTGGGGCAGCACACTCGAAATCAGCAATGTAGGCAATGTGCATGGGCAGGTCTGGCTTTAACACGGTCTCTCCATGGGACAGTCAGAACTGCATGCTTCCCTCAGTGACCCTCAGTCCTGAGCTGAAGGCGGACTTGAACTTGGCTCTGCCCTGATAATGCTTTCTTCTATATTCCCCAAACCAAGCCCCACCTATTCGAGAAAAGTCTTCCTTGGAATGCCTTGGCATCACCCCACACCTCTTTGCAGCTAGTTGACCCCACTCTACAAGACGTCATGCCGTTCACCTGGCTCAAAGGTCTCCCCACCAGGCATCATTACAATAAAGAATGCTGTGTTCTGGACAGCTGGAGCAAAAACAAGTGTCACATGCCCATGAAAGAAGTTTAGTAGCACATCCACAAATATTTTCAACAGCACAGGCTGGGAGCCCCAGCCCTAGAGGTGGTATTCCAAGAAGTAATCTAGGGGGCTGTTAAGAAAAGGCATTCACGGCAGAGTATCTCAGGCTGGCCCTTGCTTCTCAGAGGCATGGGGGGCAGTGCAAGGCTGCTGGGCCCCTGAGGCCAGTGTCTGCCACCTTCTAAAACACAGAAGCAGAGACTAGCATAGAAATCCTATTAATGTAAGAAATGTCCAAATCTGCAGAGAATTTTTATGAATTTATTTGAGCTGAACTAATGAAGTCCTGAGAAGCAAAATCTCAACAGGCTGGTCCAGAAAACAGCAGTTTTCCTACTTATTTTATACAGTAGAATTAAGGAGGAGACCCAAGGAGGGTCACCTGAAATCTATTGGTAGTAGACGAAGGGGCGGGGGAGAAAGCAAAGCAGGGGCATTCTGGGATTGGATAGAAAGGCAAAATCAAGCCACACAGTCTTTTACATCAGCGATACTGGACAGAAAACATTCACAGCTCCTGCTGGTGGTTCTGTGGACAAAACCAGATGACAAAGAGGGGCTCTGTGGTCAGCGATCCGGTGCCTGCTGCTGTGCCCCGAGGGGTCTGCAAAAGATGACTCTGATATTTCAGAGATGTGTTCTCTTAGATACAAAAAGACAAAAGACAGACTCACTTATGGTGAAGATTGACCTTTGCCAGGGAAGCCATGCGCCTAGAACGTGACTCCCTGCCATGAGCCGCTTTCAGTGAGGAGTTCTTGTGTTCAGACCGTCCTATGCGGTCCCGTTCAGTCCCTGAGTCTGCAGGCACGCTGGCGCCCCCTGAGCTTGTCGGGTTTAGCGTGCGGCCTCTGTGTGTGCGCACAACCCCATTTTCCACTTTCCAATGATTTCAACAGCAAATGTTATGGAAAGGGTTTTGCTGTTTATTTATTTAATTACATGTTTGTGATTTGTTATTTTTTAAAGCAACGTGCCAGAAAATTATGGTAGCCCTTAATTAATACTCATTAGCAAAATTATGATGCATGAAAGGGTATCAGCCAAGAGCACAGACGCCTCTGTATCCTCCTCCTGGCTCGGTTACTAGATAAGCAAGTAGCTTCATCCCTCTGAGGCTCCACTTTCCTTAGCAGTAAAAAGACTGAGCTGGATTAGGTAACTTCTAGAACCTTTTCAATGCTGATGTGATTCTGACTTCCAACAGATGCGAGAAGTAGTTCTAAAATTAATACATAAAAAGTAAATGAAGGATTGTGAACTGTTAAAAAAGAAGGAAAGAAACGAAAGGGGAAAAAGGAAAGAAAATAAACAACAGGCCAAAATCGAGTCATTTTGGCTAAGCCAGGTCCCAAACCAAAACTTACTGACCTAATTAACTAACTCGATTGCAGATTCAGCCTGTTCCAGGAGTGGAATGTTAAATCCATCGGGCTGGATCAGTACTGGTGAGATAACATGTGGGATAAAACCCCTGCCTTCCACCTAAAAGAAGATGACCTGGCCTAAAAAGAATCCTTTTTTTTTTTTTTTGTTAATAACTCCCATGCCCCACCCTCCTGCCTGTAAAAACCTTTCACTCCGGACAGCCCCTTGGAGAGCCCTTCCAGTTGCTCTGCGGGACGCTGCCGTCTTCATGAATCACTTCATAAAGCCATCAGATCTTCAGATTTACTCAGTTGATTTTTGTTCTAAGTTCTTTGTGTGTTATTATCTATTTAGTCTTACAGCATTCCTGTGAGCTAGATGTTATTATTACCTTGTTTTACAAATATTAAGACATGAATTTCATGCTGAGATTAAGGGGTTTGACTGGGACAGTATTATAGTAAGTAGGGGTGCTGGGATTTGAATCCTGACTCTACCATTGATGGATTTTTCAAAATACCAAGCTTAAGAGTATAATAACAGATGCTGATGATATGAACTGCGTGTGAAAGAGAAATTTAAGAAAGAAAACATGAATACCTAAAGAGGGAAGATTTTTAAACTATGCCATAACAAAACCAAATTGTCCAGTGAGAACACAGACTGGAAACTGTATCGCGCATGCCCCAGCGGCCTGACGTGTTGGGCCCAGGGTTGGTAGGTTGCCAAGACGGTGGGATGGTTTCAGAGCTGGGTTCAGGAAGAAATGAAGCTGCAGCGTGGTTCCCCAGAGGGAGGAAGCTGGCAAGCGTCCAACGGAAGGTGGTCTGACCCTGACCATGAAAACTTAGATGCCTTGCAACTCCCAGCTCCTTGGAAGCCTAAAGGTCATCCCATTAAACCTCCCACCCAAAGCAGGAATTCCCTTTACAGCCCCCGGTGGGTGTTTACGCAGCCCTGCCTGAGCATTGCCAGAGCTGTAGCTTGCTCTGCTTATCAGACAGCCTTGTCTATTGCTGGACACAGGAAGATAATAGAAAGTTCCATTCCTCTTAATGAGCCCAAATATGCCTAATGGTGATTTCTACCATGGGCTCTGGTTCTGCCTCCTGGGGACCCCGAAATGATATGTGACCCCCTTTTCTATGATAGCCTTCAGACATTAAGAGAAGCACTGAGTCTTCTACCACCAAACCAGAGCTGGCTCCTAGAGACATTCCTCTTGGGGCAGGTCTTGTCCCATCACCGTTTCAGCCACCGTCCCGCCGGCTTTATCAGACTGGCCAAGGCCCACAGCCTACCTCGGTGTCTGGTGTAGAACCTACTCAGGTCCTGCCTCATGAGAACAGGCACAATGTGACTGATCGTTTGAATGGAACTGAACGAGGAAACTGCAAGAGAAAAATGTGGCAAAAAAATGGACCTTGCATCCTTTACAATGTTGCTCAGACAGCATCCAAATCCAGCTCCAGAGCAGGGGCCATTTTCCAGACCCTTCCTGGAAGAGCCATTTGTCCCGCATGGTGCACCTGGGACACAGGGACACGGACCCCTGATCAGGACTTGAAAGGGGTGTTTTAGGGATTGGCATTAGGACCCCAGTGACAAGCCCAGGGCCTGGCCCACAGAAGCTACTAGATAAACACTGAACAAATGAGTGGGCTTCTTGTGCACCTACTCTCCTAACTGCAACATCCTTCCTTTGAAGGTGAAAAGGGAGAGACAGACAGTCGGGGAGGTGGATAGGAAGACAAAGAGACTGGAAAAAGAAAGAGCACATTAAACAGCCTCGTGAACTGTATGCCTGTCTGTAAAAGGAAGCAGTGTGAGAAATCAGGGCTGGAAAATTCCAGATTCTGGTGCTCCTGCTTGGCATGCAGAAAGTGTGTGTGGCAGAGTTTTCACAGTGCTGGAGCTCCCTGCATTCACAGACACGT